TGCGCATGCCAGGTGAGCGCGCTACTGTTTAAGCCACATCCTCAGTCCCTCCTTTCTATTTTCTATTTTCCCTTTCCCCCTTATTTTACTCTAGCTTCCCCATATGAAACAAAATCTTAGACTCTTGGCTTTCTGAGTCTGGTGTACTTCACTTAGCATGATGTTGTTCAGCTCCCCACTGCTCAAGGTCAGATCCTTTCTGTGGTTACCATGTAATGAAAAATTAACCATTGAGTTGTTTCAGTAAAAAAATGTACAAGACTGAGGAAAAACAAAACAAAACAAAACATGCTTGCCATTTAAGTGAGAATGAATCCAAAACAAATTTGTCGGGCAAAAAACCATTCCACAATAGAACTTACTATTTTGAGTTGAGATTTTAAGTTCAAATGCAAAACTCTCCTGTTTTGTGCCTTTCACCTTCTCACAACCACACTGTTTTGGAGCTTCTGAGCCAAAGAACTGGCAGAGTAAAAATCTCATGCTCAACACTGCACAGGAATATAGCACTGCATTTTCCAGATTGGAGCTTTCATTTCTGTCCATCACAATCCCATCCCCACCCCTGAGATCTGAATTTAATTTCACAGCAAAGAAAAACCACTAAGGAAAAACAACAGCAAATCAACCTAGAGTAAATTTATGAGCAGTAAAGCTCAAAGTTGTGAGAATGTACGCCCAGAGGAAACACTTTGCATTTTGTTCATCTTTTCTGAAAAGATAATCAAAAGTTATATTACAAAATATTGATGATGCTATAAATGTATGTGGTTCTTTACAACGTGTCACTTTATTTGCCTCACATAAACCTGCGAGAAGCTGCATTTTAATAACTATCCAATTTTTGTAACTGAAAATGAGGTTTTTTTTATCACATTTCTTCATACATTGCCTGAACTCTTGTTTTATTAGTTACTCACTGTGTTGGCCAGTAAGTATGCAGAAAAAAAAAATAATTCACAGTGTTACAGGATAATGGAGGTGTGCAGAGTGGAGTGGGACACAGAGAAGAATTTATCAGATTAAAAGAACCACATCTAAGGTATTGACAATTGTATTATGAACATTCCAAAATCAAAATTTTCTAAGATTTTAATGATACTGAGCAGAGAAAAGAAAGTTTTTAACAGAGGAGACATCTAATTTTTGAACCCATTACTTAAGGTGATTACTGAACTTGTTATTGATATTGTGATATAAAAAGGTTTATAATAATTTGTTTAAGAATAATGATTTAAAATGAAAATGAAAATCTGTAATAAACTTTCAAAGTCCATATATTTGAGTATACTTTTCGATATCTAAATTAGTTCAGAAAGAGATACCATATGGGTGGAGACCAAAATGGGATAAAATATTATACAATATTTAAGACTAACATCGGTGAACATTTCAAAAGTCAGCATTGTTGATCTAAAAATTGTTAAAATGGATAATCTTAAAGACAATAGCAAGAAACAGTACTTTAGAAACTTAATTATATTTGTAGTTAAGTTCCCAGCAAAACCTCATCTTTTTTGGGGGGGGGAGTAAATCCTCATAATTTTGCAATAAAAATTATTGCCAATTCTCAGCATTCTTAAACCCAACATTCTTCTCTATTATTAAATAAGACAAATTACCTTGTTCAGGAAGGATTTTCAAAAATGGATTAAACCAAATCTTTTTTCAAAAAACCAATGGGAGCAGTAACTCAGAAAATATACTGGGGATTCTTTTGTCATTTTTAAAACAAGTACATTCAGAAAAAAACTTATGAGCATCAGAAAACTTATATGATTGGTATGATTTAAATGGATAAATCAAAGAACAAAATGAAAGAGGAAATTTGAAAATATTATTGCTTTCACCAAAATCAACCTGATCAAAATCCATGCCATGGAGTGTAGTAGAAGTGTTAAAATATCAGAACCTAATGAGTCTGAAAAGCCTTAGGTCCAGCAAACTTTTCTGATAACAGCTTTGTAGTTTGGGGACGAAAGAAGAAGAATTTAAGAATTTGGTAGCCAGCTGAATTGTCATTAATATTTTAAATCGTTTGGAAGAAAATATTCAACCTGTAAAGGCTCTGTTGACATACTTTTGTATTAAAAAATACAAACATCAAAGATAAGCTTGGAGATCATTGATTCTTAAGTTTATTTGGAATTCCTTAGGCAGATAAAGAAATCTCTGCATATCTGTTCAAATATATAAAATTATTCCCTAGGATAAAATTAATTTAAAAGGATGGAAAATTAATCACTTTGATTTCCTTCAACAAATAAGTTTTTAAAAATTATGGACCATGAAATAAATTTTTAAGATATAAACAAAACCTCTAGTGATGAAAAATTTGGTATTATAGCAATGCTTCACATCAATCATAAAAACCAGGATTACATCTCAACCAATCTACTGCTTTTAAATGTTTGCAAAATCTATCAGGGGTTGAGGTGGACGGTCTTAAGTCCTCAGGATATAATGTTTAAACATGCATACATGCACGCATAAAAACACATAAAGCACCAGAAAATATATTAATCTTTACTAGGTAAATGCTTTGGCATTGTCATTTGGGTGGTGGCCTTCTACCTAGGAAATCTTTGGATATGAAAGGAATGACCCTTTACTGTTATAGCCTGGTGGCACAGAACACAGGCATAGCCTTTATGCTACCCAGAAAGGGTATGATTTATCATGTGTTAAATTAAATATTGTACAAAATATTCAATGTAAAAACAGTATTTAAATATCCACAGTTAAGACAGCATCATGAATTTAATAGAAACATTATCAAGTATTTTATTATGGATCTATGGGTTAGGAGTAAATAAAATAAAGATGAAAATAATAAATAACAAATTATGGGTATGGGTTACACAAAAACTGAACTCTAACTAGAGGATCTGTGCTCATAGAAAAGCCTGAATTAGCACTGTGGCAGAACTTTGAGAGAATATATAAATGAAATAATTAATACAAATTAAATATGTTATATGCACATAGTTTTTAATGATTTCCCACTTAAATAAATCAGATAAATTACAAAACTACTATCCTCAAATAAGAAATGAGGACATTAGTAATAATCTTCCATCTTGAAAATTCACAAAGGTAATTTTAGGTTAACTTTAATTTTCTTTCTTGAATGAGTTATATTATGTTTATTTTAAAATTAAATTTCTGAACTTTAAAAATGCCACACAGGCTAGCAAGGGCACATTCCTATGGTGGTATGTTAATTCAAAGAAGGCTATAGAATTTTATCTGTAGATCATTCAAGTATCTTTGCCAAATAATATCAGAAATTTACTATCACAACTTTTATTTAAAAATAAAAACTGAATGTTCAGTTTCCTTTGGGAGTCTACTATGTGAAAGTGATCCTATCACTCCCATCTTTGAAAATGGGTCTCAATTCATGTATCCCAGACTGCAACATCCAAAGAATAGTGTTATCCCTGAAAGCTATAGTTATAGAAAATTCATGCAGTCCTAGTGTTTTTCTGGTAATCATTATTATCAGTTTCTTTCTTCATTAGCTATCTGGCTAGCTCTCCTAACTTTTCCTATTTTATGAATATCATTAAAATATTTTTGGTAATATACTTTCAGTTACCTATTTTTTGATGTACTGCTAAACTGGCATTCTGGAGACAAGCAAGCAAACAAACAAAATACAAACAAAAAAGGCTGAATTTATAATAGCTTTCTATTTTAAAAGCATAAGTACTTCCATCATGACAAATTAAAGATACAAATGATATGTCAATAATTTGAAGTTGGGAAGAAATGTATACAACACATTTTAATGAGCTGAATCAAGATGCCTGAGGCACAATACTGAAGAATAAATACCACATCCAGTTTGTTTATTTTCATAGTTTATCAAAATATCCAAGAACATTTTTGGTAGTTTCCAAAATGTTTGGCTTAAAAAGATGATGGTGAATCATTTTTAGCATAATTAAAGATTTTAACTAACAACAAGCAAAAGCTAAACCATGAAATGACAGAAAAATGCTTTTTTCCAAATGAGAATTTTATTTAGAATAAAAATAAAAGGTTATATCTAATTTATTATAAACAGTGCTCACTGTAAATAATATCACTATAAATAATACCACCAGAAGCTCACAAGCTCTACACAAATATACACACTCATACACAAAAATGTATATCCAAAGAGTAGTGTTAGCCCCGTGTGTGTGTGTGTTAGAGATTTTGAAATATTTGATGACTACATTTATGATTCATAATTGAAAATTATCATTATATATTTTGAAAATTCAGCTGAAATACTGTACTGCACAGAAATAATGTAATAATATTTTGACCATTGGTTACTTCTATAAAGTTATTACATTAAAGCCTTGTAGTATAATGTAAAAGAAGACAACACCAAGCAAGAAGGTTGGAAAACTTTATTGTGAAGGGCCAAAAAAGTAAATATTTTAGACATTGAAAATCATGCAGTCTCTGTCATGAATGCTGTCCTAGTACTGTAGCAGGAAATCACCCAGGTTACACATGTGAATTAATGATCCTGCCTGTGTTCTAACAGACATTCTTCACAAAAACAGGTGGTAGATGGATTTGACTTGTGACCTGTCTGTAGTTTGATGACCTGACTTATACTTGTACTGAATCATTTTTTGAATCTTCGTAGCTCTGCTTTCAATATAATTTTTCTTTTATTCATGAAACATTATTAGAGTGAACCAAACTGTTTTTTTAAATAAAATTTCCCCAGTTAGGAAAACTGTTGGCTTATTAGTGTCTTTTATACAACTCAATCCTGTAGCTAACCAACTGCCAAAAGGACAATGCAATTGAAAATAAAATGAATATGTTTGTGGACATAATTTCTTTTGTATTGCCATACCATTATTTCATAGTTTACCATAAAGACAGAGCCTTACCACACAGTAATAAAAGAGAAAATCTTCATATTAAACTAAAAGGTATTTAATATGAGTACATTCATTTTTCTTTGTTTTGAAATCTCTTATTCTTACCTTCCATAAGTTTCCCTGTCTGTTCTGCACCTCCCCCAGGAAGAATTTTGGCAATATAGGCTCCAATTTCTCCACCATGTCCAGGGATTTCTTTACCACCTACAATTCTGATTCCTAGTCCATTACCTGTATTGAAGAATTAGCAAATTAGTAATAATTCAAGAAGAGACTATATTATCATAGTTTTAGAGAAGACAAAAAGTGGATCTGGCACCAGAAAGCTAAATATAACATCAGCAATAAAAGTACTTTATGCTGACTTCAATTTCATATACTAACACATTGCCAGTTTTTAACCAGATATATTATAAAAATTTTATAAAAGGATATTCTCAGTGTAAGAAAATCTTGAGTATTCACCTATGAAACTTGGAGCATCTTACAGAAAATCAGTAATGGCTGTCATAAATTGAACAGAGGATGTGAACATACATAGGACTTCAGCTGATAATGTGAAAACATGATTATAACCTATGAATTATTGGTCACTTTTCAATCTTCACTCATCAATTTATATTGCTTGTGGCATAATAACATTGATCTTGATTGATGACCCACTTAGTAAATTGTTTCTTACCCAAGACAGGTTTATCTATAATTAGCTAAATGGAAAGATGATCAATAATAATGAGAAACCTAATTGAGATAGGTAAAAACTGTTAATATTTTAAATTTATGTGTTTTTTTCCTAAATCAGCTAAAAACTCGTGAGAGGACATAGTACCAAATGCATTTTCATTGTAAATGCTAAAAATATTTTACCATAAAGCATTAAAGGAAAGCAGAATTCTTCATCTTTAATTGAATGCACAATAAACTACTTAAATTGAAATTTGCTGAAATTCATTCATTGATTGAAGTACTATTTTCAAATTCTTTCAGATTGTCTTTCAAAATCTCCAAATTTTAAAAGCTCTTGCTTTAAAATTTTGTTCCTTTTCTACTTTATTCTTAAAAAAAAAAAAAAGAAAACAATGCTATAGGAAGCATCTATACATTTTAAACATTCAGCCACCACTAACACTGAATTATGTAACCTTCCTGTCACTTGAAAAACAAGGATATATTCTGGTAAAATATTTCTTCCCAGTTGTGATGATTCCAAATGATTCCTTCCCTCCTTTCCTCTCTCTTTCCTTCTCTCTTCCTTCCTCTCTCCTTTTCTATCTATCCTCATTTCCTACACTTTATTTCCTCTGTTTCTTAACCAATATAGGTATTCAGAAGATTTAGAACTCCATGACCAATGTGATTCTGCAACCTGTGCACTCAGAAAAATGAGAAATTATATCCCATTTGATTCAAATGTATGATATGTCAAGGTCATTGTACTGTCATGTGTAACTAATTAAAACAAATAAAAAAATAAAAATGAAAACAAGTTGACTATGTTTCTAAATGCCCTGTATTAGAGTTCATAGTTAAACAGTATACTAGCTCTCCTTACCCCATCTGTGGAGATTTTCTGCTACATGTTTCTTGGTCTAGCATTACTGTTGTTAGCAGAAATTATTTATAGTGTAAATTTAACACAACTGTATGAATGTGTTTTATTAAGTGATTTACTCCTCCGCTAAGTTTGGGTAAAGACAGATGCGTTCTTAGATATTAGAGTTTAAGGAATCACCAGGACTGAATCTATAATATCACATTTGATGTGTGTGAAGAATTTAGCCAGAATTCACTCAATTAGTTAGGTCTAATTTTTTTCAATGTACTAAGGAAATTTTAGAAATTATAAAATGAGTATTTTTAAATTACTGGCTATAACAAAAGGTTATTCCTTTATTTATCTTTAAGAATAAAAGTATGTTCACAACTAACACTTTGCTTTCCATGGTGGAATCACTCACAAACTGTAATCCATTATTTGTTCAAGATTGCATAACACTTCACTTGGATATTAAATTTCTACTATAGTTAGCATATCAATATCAATATTTGGTCAGTCTAAGAACTCAAAGGTGATTTACAAGATTTATTTTTAGCTTATAGGGATATGTTTAAGATCACACTGTTAAAATTTCTCAAAAAATATACTTTTATGTAGATTATGGCAGAGGAAGGAGCTCAGGGCACTGGCTTTGCATATATCTTTTAAACCTAAAATTTAGAATGCAAAGGTAGCATGTAAAAATAGTTTTAGCACTATATGATGTGTGGTACAACCATATGCTAAAAAGTCTCAAATAGATCTAAGATCATCACACCCTTTTAAAGGTATAGCTAAAAGATTAGTTGTGAAATTTCAAGATCTATAATTAGTATAAGTGACTATTCTACAATTTGGTTATAGCCTCATTTTGAAGATAACAGTGACCTGAGGTTAAGTCATTGGGTCCTTACAGCTATTTGCTTTTTAGTGACTGAACACACTCTAGAACCCTGTGGTAGGATCAGTGATAGGAAACCAAAACTATATCCATCTTGATAAACTAGAATAGAGAATAATTATTTCTGAGTTATGGCGAAATAAAACCTCATAGTGAAATCAAGTATTCAAAATATTATAAAATGTACTTTATGGAATTCAGGGTGGATGGTATAATGGAATAAAACATTATCATGAGAATACTGTGAAAAATAAGATTATATACATGGAAAGTACTTCAGGTGCATAATCAATTTTCAAAAATTACTGTTAACTCTTATTGATATTCCTGCAGTTTTTAATATAAAAAATAAAGTTGCATAAAATATTAAAAATTTGCACAAGAACAGCATGGGAAATAATAAAAAGACCCAAGGAAGATAATATTTTTGGTAGTTTTACAGTAGCTTCTTGTACAACTTGGATATTATAAAAATAATAAATATGAGATTTAAAATTCGGTCATTTTGATTTTATATTTCTATAGCTGCATTTTGATATTTTATCTATTAAACATAGACAAAATATTTTCATAAAATTTAATACCACTCTTCAAATCTAGAAAGCAGAATGTCAACCTAAGTTTCAGTAAATTCAAGAAGCAACATTAATTTTGATCTGAAATGGTCCTTGGCAACTAATATTTATTTAACCAATTTTTTTTCAGCAAAATCTCCTTTGCATCTTTTGCTTCTGTTACAATTAGAAACATTGATAAAATGTCTCCTCAGATGCCATGAAATGCATTGGTTCTTGTTCTGACTTCACAGTATGGTATAGTAGAGAACATAGTTCTTTAATAAAGAAAACCAGAAGATAATGCAATTTCACAATATATAAGTATAGCTGTGGTAAAGGAAGTCTTATGGGGTAATTTCAATTCAGAAAATATTTAAAGCATGTTGGGAATATAATATTTGTAGGGCAGAAAAGTCCAATGATAAAAGTACCAAAACATGAAGAAAAAATATTACTTCTAACTTTAGAATTACAATTTAAATATATTACTAGTTATTTGTTTTAATTGGTCCATTATAATTATAAATAATAATGAGATTCATTATAGCACACTCATATATGCACATGATTTGATCAATCTCATTCCATAGTGCCCTTTTCTTTCCCTCCTTTCTTCTCCTCAATCTGCTTGTTTTACTCTATTAATCTCCCATTATTATAATTATTATTTTAATTAGTACACTATGATTATATACATAAGGAGGAATCACTGCAGTATATTTATACATGGACATAGAACAATTTGGTGAATTTAATTTCCTAGTACTTCTCAAAGCCCTCTCCTCTTTCCTCCCTCTCAGTCCCCTTTCTCTACCCTACCAGTCTCCCTCCTTTTTTTTTTTTTTTAAGATCCCTTTTTATTTGTTTTTTTCTCTCCAGTTTCCATACATGAGAGAAAATATTTGACCCTTGGCTTTCTTAGTCTGGTTTATTTCACTTAGCATGATATTCTCCAGTTCCATCTATTTACCAGAAAATGACATAATTTCATTCTTCTTTATGGTTGAGAAAAACTCCATTGTGTATATATGCCATATTTTCTTTTTCCATGTGACAGCTGATGGACTCCTACATTGAGTCCATAACTTGGCTATTGTGAATTGTGGTGCTGTAAGCATTGGTATGCAGATATTACTATGCAATGCTGATTTTAGTTCTTTTGGATAAATACCATGGAACATTAGACTTTTTAAAAAATGTTTATTTTTTAGTTGTAGTTGAACACAATACCTTTATTTTATTTATTTTTGTGTGGTGCTGAGGATCGAACCCAGGGCCTTGCATGTGTTAGTTGAGCACTCTACTGATGAGCTACAACCCCAGCCCACAGAGTTTTAAAATCTCTATTTGTAAGTATTTGATGAATATAATATGGTATTAGGTTAGTGAACTCACTTTTTATGAAAAAAACAAATATGAGCATATTTAAGGAAAATCTTTTAATTACCATTTAAGTTTTTATTTAAAAATCTAATTTTATGTTTAGTGATATGTTACATAAAAAGATTTGTTTTTTATTGTATCAAAAAGAATGTTTCTATTTTCATCATTAATATTATTTATGAAAATATTATTAAGTCATAATTAGAGCATTAAACTTTGACATAAAGTACTTATTTCATTTAAAAACTATTATATGATACATCTAAGTCTCAAGGAGAAGTGAAATTTACACAAGTAAATATACTACATCATATAGAATAGTGGTAGGTAAATAAAATATTATTCATAATAAAGTTATCATAAAACGAAAATAAACTGCATATATTCTTTAGTTGGAAGAAAGTGATAACACACTTGCTATACAAACATTAATGTGGATGAAATACCAAAGATAGTGGAAAAGTGTTCAAAGGATGGTTCAGTTAAACATATGTTTGTTTAGTTTAAGTGTTAATTATACTCTTAAGGTTATGAAAGCTTATTTTCATATTCCTTCACCTACAAATTTCTATTACAAATTATCAATGTAATATTTAGGAAAATTAACCAAATTATATGAAACAGGCATAGTAATTTCCCCTTGTGTCCAATAGAATGCTATAATTTGTTCATCAACACTGGAATACAGAGAACTAAGAAATATTTCACTATTTTTCCTTTTTTTTCCCCCCAGTAATGTTTTGCTCACTGCAGGAAAACCTTTTCTACAGACACAACAGTATTGATCACCTTAACAACAATCCAAACTTGACAGTTTTCAGGAGTATTAAAATGGAAACACACGAGTGCCAAG